TGTATTGGGAAAAACCCAAGTCCCACATCGACTAGAGATTAGGCAATTAAATAGTATATAAGTGGAGAGCAACCCTCACCTTACAAGCCGGTTTTGTAGGGTTGAGTTAGGCTTAATCCACTATTCTAAGATGGTATCAAAGCCATTTAGATCCACTTTAAAAATGGGCCACCCACCATTCATTGATACATGCACCATGGGCATGAGGAGGTGTATTTCAAGTCCCGTCAATTAGAAAAGGGCCACCTACCATTCATTGCTACATGCACCATGGACATGAGGGGGTGTATTCAAGTCCCGCCAATCCTAGATCATTAAAAAGGGCCACCTACCATTTATCCACGTACCAAGCCCAATAGTGCTGGACGTGAGGGGGGTGTATTGGGAAAAACCCAAGTCCCACATCGACTAGAGATTAGGCAATTAAATAGTATATAAGTAAAGAGCAACCCTCACCTTACAAGCCGGTTTTGTAGGGTTGAGTTAGGCTTAATCCACTATTCTAACATGATGTCCTTTCCTTTTAGATAATTATTCGCATAACACATTTAACACACTTGTCTCTAATACTCTATTCTTAATCCACCAAATTTGAAATAACGAAAAAGAATTGTGTGATGTTTAAATAAAAAAAGTCCCTTTACCTATTATCAGTAGGAAATGGAAGTACTTCGTGTCTCACTGTATCTCTATTTATTTCTAAGGAGTTACGGTTGTAGAAAAAAAAAATATTGAGATTTGAAAATAGATAATCATATAAATTAGTGAGTGGACAGTTATTTTTATTATGGAGTAAGTAATTTTAAAAGGTCTTATTTTGAAATAAGTGTGTGATTTAAAATAGAAAAAAAAAATTACTAAAATATATCTCCCAGTAACCAGATGCTGATTGCAGAAAGGTTACATTTTATAACACATTTTACACTTTTAATTATGCACCCACTTTGCGCATTGATTCTCTAATAAATCAATTACATATAATTTAATTTAAACAACAAATTCAGTCGTCCACGTGGATATTTTAGTTTAGACAATGAAATACTTAAGTTGTTTGCACGAGGAAAATATTCTAATTCTAGGAATTGTTTGTTTGTGTTATATTTTTAATAAAAACATATTGAAATTTTTTAAAATAATATACAATTTTTCTGAGAAAAAAATTATTTCAATACTTTTCCACGAGTAAAGAATAATAAATATAAAAGTATACATTATCGAGTCAACCTCTATATATAAATTCATATGTATTAAACACAAACTCAAATAATTACCTTAGGCGATCATTTTTAAAAAAAATTCTTCAATGAGAAATCATTTAGAAATTCTCTTAAACTCATATCTAATTCAATTTTTATTTATTATAATCATTTATGAATTAAATTTTAATTTTAAAATAAAATATTAATAAATAAAAATAAATTTGATCTCAAATAGAAATTATATATCATTAATTTCTTTAACTGTTGTAGCTGTTAGTTCGAAACCAAAGAATCTCCCATTACACTTGTATACGTACATGAATCTCACTCTATTATTTACAAATATGGCACAGAAAGAAAAGTGGCAGCACATACCAATCTTGAGAACTTCTCCACAAGATAATTCTTTATCAACAAGTGTGCTAGAACATATAATAACTTTTCTTAGAAAGCAAAACCTTATAGCAGTAATTAAAGGCAATATTGTGAAGCAATTTTCATTTTCCACACAATTTCCAGAAGAAATATACACAAGACATTACAATTGCAAGCTGAAAGTTACCAACGGTGATACACAAGACAAAATCCTATTGCAATCAAAATATACAAATATTTCGGCTATGCTATGCGTGTTACACTAATAAATAACCCAAAAAAGGGAAAGCTACAATATTGCACAGATAAATAAAATCCTAATTGCCAAAAAATATTAGTTCTCCAGGGTCGCTGCAGGGGGCGAAGAGGCTTCATCATTCTCGTCATTAGATTTAGAGGTATTTGATGATTTTATATACGAACGAGCAACATCTAACATCACATCAACTTCTTTCTTGTACTACATTGTTAAAACAACAATTTTTTTTTTATTAATTAAAAGCTGTTAATACCTGCGCTTTGAAGGAACTACCTATTATATATGCAATAAGTAACTTTGTCAACAAAAGATCTACCAACCTCATTGACTGCCCCTGATTTTATTTTGGATTGCATAACACACCATTTCTTGAAATGTGCACCTGCAGAAACAATGAAGGAATTAAACATCTATCATTAATATTTTTCATATTGGCCCCCCTCAAGTCCTGGAGTGAAATTTTAGCTTGCCCCTGATTCTAACATAGTAATCATATAACTTTTATCTAGTTATCAATGCCAGATAGTGGCGAAGCAGCCAATCCCAAAATCGCTTCAGTGAGGCAATAGGATGGCTGCTATATTGACTAGATACAAGTTAAACAAAATATTTTACCCAAATATACATACTCAAAAAGTAATACACACACACACACAAAATTAGACTATTCATAATTAATACTGAAAAGTAACAGTCTATAGTGGAGGATGCCGTGACTGCAGAGGATGTGAAGGATGATTGATGAAGTCAAAAGAAGGAAAAACACAAATCAGGACAGAACACAGGTAGAACAGGTACAGCAAAATGAGGGCAAAAATCAAAGGTTTTCATACTTAAACATTTTTTGTGGTTGGTGATTAGCAGAGGATTGCGTCATCAATGACAACTTAAGTGGGGAATAAGAAGTAAAATGGGACAATATTCAGGAGATTCAACCGCAACTTACCCACTTTTATGTCCAGAGTACATGAGCTTTCATTAATTGTCTCCAAGCTCCATTTACAGTGCACCTATTGGCCCAAGAACATATCACCATCTTTTATCAGAAAAATATAATATAATATTATGATAAATATGTGGGGAGACAAACAAAATCACATATGAATGAAGGGCCAAACAATTATTGGTATGTTTTCTGTTCTATTTCAATAATTCATACCTTAATGACTAACTTTAGTCCTTCCGATTATCAGAGGTGTAGCCATCTAGGATTTTTAAAACAGTATTTTTGAAGAGTAGAACCCGTTCTTTTGATAGGAAAAAGCAAGAAATGAACATCTTAAGAGAAAGCTGATGATAATAAGTTTTTACATTAACACTTAAAATGCCAACTATCCTTCCCTTCCCAGTTGGCATTGCTTTAATAAGGCATAGTAGTAACTAGACCGAATTGTACAACATAACCAAAGTTAAAATACAAGTGTTTGACAGTTGTTTGGAGGGTGAGCACTTTTATGTGCAATAGCAATGTGCTTTCAGAGGGTAAGATAATAGATTATTTCCAGTATTCCGTATAAAATATATGTAGAATTTCATGGCTATATTCAAAGTTAGTCAAAATCACTTTCACAATAAGGGTTATATTGAATAAATATTAATAAAGAACTAGAAAAGTATATTTGTTAGGCATTTGTTCCTTCCTTGGTCATACCATTAAAGTTTAAGGTTTAAATTTAAAATAATCATTAATGCATCGTGTAGTGGTTTACAAATAATGCAGACTCTTCAATCAGGAGTTTTCTTGTCTGCACATATCATATGTGCCACTAATAAACTAATGAATAATAAAAATCATACAAAAATGGAATGATTCAAATCAGAACACAAACAAAAATATATCAAAAGAAAAAAGTAGAAGAAAAAAAAGCCAAGTATCCAGATAAGATATCTAAAGTATTCCGTACCTCAAAGTAGGATCCAAATGGAACATCATGTGCCTGCTGCACAGTTTCAAACACCTGAGAGAAGTTATAACAACATCCCATTAGTTATTTTGAACTCAGAAAAAAAAAATTTAAGGGTGAGGGTAGAAAAGGAAAGAAATCAGTTGCAAAAGCAAAGGAAGTTAATCAGACCACAAAAGCCATCAACACTAAAACATAATCCATTTATCATTATATTCTCCTTTCATCTGAAGTAAATACAAGCAACAGTCTAACCAGGTTTTTCTTGTCTGGTGATAGAACATGATGTTGCCACTCTGTCATGGCTGTGTCTGGAGGGCACATAGGGCTGTTACAAAGGGATCTGAAGGTTATCTCTCGGACTTGACCATCATATTCATCTGCTGTATGCCACTGGCCCATCTGCAACAAGCATAACCAAAGAACAAACCAGCACCTTAAGACCTAGAGCCACCAAGAAATATAATTTTAACTTTAACCAACAAATAGACTTCTAGAGAAATTTTGATTAATTATCAGTATCACCATTTCAGCATCAAGTAATCAAAATTGCCAGAGACCCCATGTTTTTTCTCAAAGACAACTACTGTGAGTTGGGATTTCCCAACTTCCATTAAAATTTCAGTCAGAGAGAACTAACTAGAAGAACAAGAAGAAGAAACTAGACATTATTACTAAGCTGTACTTTAATTTTAATAAAACAATCTATAAAGGAAAAAGAAAGAAAGGTCATAGAGAGTGAGAAAGCATGAAATCCCATAAGATCTACAATCCATTCGCAAATGAATGTAGAGTAGTGACACTAGTATGACAGCTCTTAGTGGAGGTGAGACTAAGGGCTTTCCTATATGCATGTGTTTACGATAAGGCTCTACCTTGAGTCCTTGCTTATTTAATCTAGTCTTAGATATGCTGACCAAGGACAATACAAAACATCCCTAAATGCATGCCTTTTGTGGATGATATATTTTGATTTGAGGAAGCAAGAGAAGAGGGTTAACTCTAAACTTGAAGCATGCAAAAAATTGACATCGAAGGGTTTTCATTTATGATTAAGACATTTTCATTTATGATTAAGACAACGTATATGCATTTCAATTTTAGCAACAAATAAGAGGAAAGCAACTTTTAGGGGAAAAAAAAAACCTAGAGATGTCATGATAAAATCCTTGGGAGAACCACACCACAAAGTACTAATTAAGTTTTTGTATTATCATCGACCTGACTATCCATCATTTGGACACAGTTGTGTTTAATATGGATTCAGTTTCATTGTGAATCATATATGGGCAATATCGATGGGCAGAATATTTATCATGTAACTATTCATAATTTTGAACTTCGAGTTCAATTTTCTATACTTTACTGTGAACCTGAATCTAGGTAACAACTTACGGCACTACTCATTGACATGACCACAACTGGTTCATATGAAAACATCTAACACAAGAAAGGAATCATTATGTGGATCACAAACATCTTAATTTGAACAATCTTGTAAAGTGCATCTAGCTTTGCTTTCAACATTAGCAGGCCACAACAGTTCACCAATTTCAGAAAAAAGTCAAGCTAGCTTGCACAATAATTAGTAGCAGTCTCCAGAGATACAAAAATAAGGTTATTATTACACTTCACATTTTATTCCCATTATTACTCAGACAAAAAGTTGACAACTTCTAACAAGAATCACAATAGCAATTTAAGAAAACTTACCACAAGATTAGTGTCCTTTCTTATGGAACGATATTTGCTAGTAAAATTTGAACCATCATTTAATAATAAGTAAAAAAACTGATCAGCTGTGCAGGGAAAAACTTCCTGTAGAAGGATCACTAGTTATATACAAATAATTAAGTTGATAGTTAAACTCATGGAGATAAAAGGAGAATATAATGCATACATTGTATATACCAACTAAGGCCTCTTCTTTGATAAAAGGTTGAAGTTTTCCAGATTTTGACATGATTTCTTCTGGAACCTTATCCAGTATTTTACTACCTCTGACAGAACTGCTATGTGCACGCAGCTCTGACTCAGCATTTTCCTGTATAATATGATTAAGAAAAAAATTGAATTGCTTGAAATTGTACTCTATTTTTCCAAAATTTTGGCGTAAAAATTAATTAAAAAATTGAAAAGGAAAGAAAAAGAATCAGGTCCTAAACCAGTTATCCTTTCATAATACTTGCACATCAGGATCAAACACATTTCATCATGGGAAAGATCTTATCTGGAGACATCACCTTTGATTTATCAATTCAAATGATCAATTGGCAAATGCCCTCACAAAGTCATTAAGGGCTCCTAGAATTAGTTATACATAGCAAGCATGCATACTTGAGGGGGAGTATTGGGGATTAAGTAAAGTTTATAATCAGGGATATCAAGAGATATTAGCACAGCATGTAATTATGTAAATTAGCTACCCTTTATTTATTGTATTTATCACGCATCATAAACAAGAGTCTTTGCTGTGTAAATCAGGAACACAGAATTCATCTAACGTCTCCTGTCTTCTGTCTCTTAACACATATATCAGGATCATAATGTGTTCCCAAAGTACAACATAGCATAAGGATATTATTAATAGAAGGAATTGGTTCCCCTGAAGTGACAGGTGCACTTTAGAGAGTAAAGTACAAAATATAATGGATGATGGAAACAACAACAGTATAGACTGTCACATAAAATATATATAAGCTACGTGTATGATTGTATTCACATTGCAGCATGTTGAACGTGAATCTATAGTGAGATAAGCATTCCCGTTCCATGTGCTTTGTATAGTGGGATTGGTGTAAAATAAACACACTATGAAGTTGTTAAAATCTATTGCTTCGAGATTTTTCGATCAATAGTTATAACTCTGTACTTTACTCTCTAAACCATACCCATCACTTTAAAGGAGTCAAATTCCTATGTTTGAATCTCTTAAAGATTTTATAATAAGAAGCAAATTATTCAAAATAGATATAAATATCTACAATTGGTCTTGCAATATGACAACAAAACCCAAATTAATTAAGCAAGGGCTATAACCTTCTTCTCAGCTTCCAACATTTCATGAAATTTCTTTGCTGCACGCTGTAGAGTTCTGACTGCATGATTCCTGTTCCAAAATGATGCAAACATATATCTGACCCTACCTGATATAAAGAAGAAAAATACAGATCTAATCAAATCATCTGACAGAGACCATCATCAGCGATAATATTTAGTGCTCGCTTTTATCACTGTTATTTATCAAAAGAAACATTACCAAAATTCAGAATTATATTAAGAGCAGTATCATTCTCATATATTTTGACAAAAATGAGAACCAGAAATACAGTAAGATGCCAGTGTTTATGAAAACATGAAAGCCAGTTAACAATTAAGGAAAATACAAGTCCACCAAATGCCATTGTTGTGATACACGCCAAAAACTTGTAGAACCACAGTACCACACGAAAAGAGGAAGCAAGCTGATGATCCCTTATGTATAATTTGATTGAATTTTTTTATGAAAAAAAAGCGTACAAGCATTGAATTGAATCAAAAAGTACAATTAGAAGTTACTCCATGAAAATAAATAACCAGTGAACAATTTACTGACCATCAGGACTTCCCAAAGGAGGTACACCATGTCCACCAGCACCCATGCGAAGAATAATTGTTATAGCAGGATTGATAAATGCATGTTGACTCCTTCGAATCTTAAGCAAAAGTAGAACAGTTACACCAGATGTTAGTTTTATTTTGACTGAAATATTTGGTACGGGGGGAGAGAAATAGTAATAGAGATTGTACCTCATCTATATCTTCAAATGGAATAACCACCTGTCAAAAATCCCCAAAATAGAATGATGGTATAATTAATTTAGAAAAAGAAGAAGATGCTACAAATACATAAAACCAAGGAATCACAACAAATAACAGATAAGCAATGAATGCGAAAGTCATACTTCCTCTGGTCTCAAATATAAGAGGGAAAAAAAACATGTACACTGGTCTCAAAGAAACAATGAATGCTAGTGTTCACTACTCAACCTCTAGAAAACAGAAGTATAGTCGTCTTACCTTCATTTGCTTTGAAAACACATTGGAATGGAAACAAATGTGCCAGGATGAGACATACATACGACCATGGTACAAGAATGACCTCTCAAGTGCACAAGAATAACTATGATCAACAACCTGAAATACATGCTTCACTTGTCAGATCTACAAGCAGAAACGTACAAAAGGAAAGGTGTACATATTCATCTTTTATTTCTGTTGTGTATATTTGGCCCAGGAAAAAACTCCATTTTGGTAATCGTTAACGAGAAACAAACAGTTTAATTTCTGTCAGTAACCTCATCTGGATGAAGATTAAATATAGTTTGAAGAGGCCCTGGCTTTTGATGGACTACAGTAGGGCCCTGATTTTCCAAGGGTGGAATCCTTCTTCGAGGGTTGGCTCCTCCATAACCATTTATCCTATCAGTCCAATCAATTAATGACTATAATCAGACCAACATATGATAATAACAGCACTCAAGTATCTAGGACTAACACAACACACATCTTTTAAAACAAGTATAAAACCAAAAGGCTCACCTGGAATCACTTGCAGATAGTTTTATTGTTTTTATATGAAGACAAACCTGACATTCAGTTACATATTAATAATGGTATTTTTTACAGATATAAAAAAAAGTATTAGAAATTAGCAATTAGAAATAGAAGCCAAACAAAAACTTTGAAACCAAATGAAATTTCTTCTGACAGCAGGTATTACCTGCCCTGATGGGCTATCCAAAGTATGCCACACTGCACCAGTTTGACCTTCACTTTCAACTGGAACAGTCACTGAACCAAGAACAGCACTTTTCCAAATTATATCCCAATCATAAATTGTGACATTGATCTGCTACGTCAGCAGGGAAAGAAGTCAGTTTCACGAAAACCTACATAACAGATTTAATCTGTCAATTGAGAAGCTTTTACTGTGACACAGGGCATGCAAATATGCCAATGCTACTTCATAGATATGAATCCTAGAATATGCTCAAAATATTATGTTTGATCACTATAATTAGCTTCAAAAAATTACATTTGCATTGATATGTTTATTTTCATTATTCTTTCCATCTGTTTGCTTTGTTTGAGAGTTAGAAAAGAAAATGTATTACTACATTAAATTTATTATGAAAAGACAAAACTAGAATCCAGATGGTATTCAGTGGACACACTTGACATTCTGAATAATGACAAAAGCCTTGCCCCACTAGGTAGCATTGGCTAAATGGATCGTATGACACCATTATGTGCTGTCATAAATCATGTCTAATAACAAATAGAAATCATTTAAATATATATACTTCTAATGGTTTGGACTAATGTTTTTCTTGGTCTGACCCTAACTCTGAGTCTCTAACTAATGAACAGTCCTCCCCCGTCTAATCTACTCTTTCCTTATTAGGGCTTCCACAGGTCTTCTTTACATATGCCCAAACCAACCAAGATGAGATTGTACCATCTTTTCCAGAATAGGTGATACCCCAAACTTTGTCCCAAATGGATCATTCCAGCCCCATGTTTTTTATTAATTACAATGACAATTGAAATAACACAGACCAGACCTATCTCGACAACAAACTAGTAGTAAATAAATTACATTGTCAAGTCAATGAGATAAAATTCATTCATGTATGGGAAAATTTAAAATAAAGCATTATCAACTGCCAAAAATACATATTATTATTGCATAAAATATAAAACTGAGGTAGATAAACTATTTGTCCTCTGAAAGAACATAAATCCAGGTTAAGAAACAAGCATGTTCTTAGCAGTGAGTTTAAAGCTTAAAGATCAACATCAGTCTGTTAAGAATTAAACCTCACAAGCCATTGAAATAATTTTCAGCAGCAGCAAACATTAGGTATAATTACTCCAAATAAAAAACATAGATGATAGATAGATGATAAGCCAGCTACCTGGACAGGAAGTTCATCAACAGAAAAATTGAACTCCTCCCCCCACATTGGATTTCTTGAACCAGGTACCATGGAACTGCATCAGCACACCATAATATCAACTTATGAGAGCCCAATGGACAATGTTGAGCAAAATCCTTGCTTTTTAGAACATATACTGAGTATGGTAAACATGTATTATCATATCAGTAGGTCAAACATCTAAGAGACTCTGACAGTGCACATTCTTTATTTTCTCTCATTCTATGATCACTTCTGATAGTACATGTATTCCATTTAAAGTAAAAAATCTTCTGCATCATTACATATATTCATATATGTGACTGCATACATATACATAAATAATACATATACATATTTATGTATGCAGTTAAATATACAAATATAAAGGTGTTGTGCACTTATTCCAAAGCCCCAAAATATTATTCCTCCTAAAAATTAATCCTAAACTTACAAATGCAAAGTACAAATAAGATTAACCAACTAAATTTCTTTACAAAAACAAAGTAAAAGAACTAAGGATTAAAGTAGAGAGCTCTAAACCAACAAGTCAATGGCACAGGGAAACAGGCAAGTAGAAAAAATAGTTACAAACAAAACTGGAATATATCTGCCTATAGGAGTTTGCTAAATACAATAATAATAATAATAATAAAATAAATAAATAAATAAATAAAATCCTAATACAGCAAAACCTAGGCCTGGCTATAACTTAACCAACGAGGAAATATATGCAAAGCACAAACCTTTGATTTGCAACCTGAATTGTAGAGTAATTCATAGTACAGACAGAGGTCAACAACTCCACATAAATAGTTTATGTTTTGTTTAAGGCTAAAAATATTACTAGAAAGAATTGATGAAGAGAGAGGCGGCACATAGTTGTGGAACACCCCCGCCCCCCAAAAAAAATTCTTCAAAATATGAGAATTTACAAAAAAAATTGATAGCATTCGCCCAAAGACATTAACAAAATTTTCCTCTGGCAGCACCATTTCTTGGAGAGACAAGTTCAAATGAAGGAGGGGAGAAAACTAGATCAACACACCTGAATCGCTTTTCATTGCCACATGTGATGATAGCATAAGGATCCGATGTGCCATTTAGGTTCGCACCAACAAGATTCTTAGCAGCCAATAGTTCTAACTTCAAAGAGAATTCAGAAACAAATCCAGATGTCATGAATAACTTCCAGTATACTCATATACACACACACGCAAACCTTAGCGCAAGATAAGTTGCCTTCTCTGGGGAAGGAGTTCCAGACCAAACATTGCTAGAAAACCCAAATACCTTGATCAGGTACCCCGAACTGGTTTGAGAATCCCCTTTAGGCAGGCCCATCTACAAAAATAAGTGCAGAACTGCATGTCAACAAGTTAAAAATTACTCCACGAAGCAACTAACACTAAATATTTCGAGCCACTAAGTTATAAACTCCAACAGTAATTCCTCTCTTGACAAGCCACAAAGCAAACCAACAAGTGATCACAATTCACATATCACAATCCTAAAGAACTCGTATCAGAGACAAAATTGAACCCAAACTTCTCCACTATAATTAATCAATTCCTCCAAAACCAAAAAAAAAAATTAAAAGAAATCGAAAATAAACCGCAATACCATTCTACAGAACAAAACACAAGTAACCGTCAGAAAAGATTCACAAAAAGAGAATCTCCGAGAACCTTCCTTGATTTAGAAACAACACGAAGAAAACGTGACGGAAATAGCAAAGTAGCAATCGAAGAGCACAGGAAGCGACGAAACTAACCTTGTCCTTATCGTCGGCGAGATCGGCGGCGGCGGGGGAATTGTCGGAGAGCGACGGATCAGCGTGGAGGTGAGCGGTTCGGGGCGCGAAGAAGTGATAGGTGATTATGACGAAGACGGAGGCGGCGACGGCGACTTTGATCTCCCACAGGGAAGGGAAGAGAAACGCGAAGAGCGCGGAATCAACGGTGACGTTCATGGCGACGAAGGTTGGTCGCAACGGAATCGGAAAGAGTAACCGATCAAAGCGAAAGGGAGAGAGAATGAGTGGTTCCAGGTCTAGGGTTTAGGGAATGCGGTGAAGCCATGGAAGAAGAAGAAGAAGAAAAGTCAAAGTTGGACCGTTGGAAGAGAAAGAAAAAGAGAGCGCAAAGTGTCAAACGAAACAACCGCACTCCTCTTCTTGTTCTTTGCCTCAACTAAAAACGTTTAGACACCCAATTACTTCTTGTGTTTTTCTCTTAAGAGTTAAGAGCATAGGAATTTATGTGCATAGTAATAAATAATAATAATTACTAAAAGAAAAATGCATAGGAATAAGTGTGCCAGAAAGTCATTCATATTCATATGCATCTTTCGCGTGCCGTGAAAAGTTCTGTAACTTTCATTAATTTAGATTATCATCATGCCGCTGAATATTTCATTAATGAAAAAACTTAAACAAAGTATATAAAAATGCTTAAAACAAATATAAATTATTTCTTAAAAAGTATATTTTTTTAAAATGAATCAAAATAAAATAAACTATTTATTTTATTAAAAAATAAATTTCAAAAAAATCTAAATAAACAGGCTCAATTCGTTATAAGATATATAATATATTTTTATTATAATTCTATTGATGATATTCTTCAATTAAAAATAAAACTTTGTTTTAATAATATGTGTTCGTGTCTAATAAAAAATTATTTATACACATTCTAAAAAATATTATTGAAAAACACCAATAACATACATGAAATTATATCTATGTTACGTAAAATAGTATATAACTACAAACATTAATTTAGAAGTAAGTAAATAAAGAACAGGGAGAACAATAAAATGGAGAGAATAAGGAATTCTTTGGATTATTTCTGTAATTAAACTAGTTTATTTATAGGTACAAACTATAACCGTTAATATACAAATAATTTAATAATATTAAGAAAAAAATAAAAATTACAATTATAGATAGTCATAACATTTTCCTATGAATGTTCATTGTCTAAGAACGTACTTCATTAAAATTTTTACTAAGAAAAATTTCGTTAGACAAAAATCCAATGGAGTAAAAAAAATGTATATCTCATTTTTTATTGAGTTTATTTAAATGTAAGCTGTAAACGTTTTTTAGAATTTTTTTTACTAAAAATTAAAAAAAAATAGTAAAAAAATCTCAAAAATACTTTTAAGTTTGTATCCAACTGAACTCTAAGTTAACATGTATTATTTGTATTACATAATAGACTTGTTGGATTTTTATGTTATTTTTCACTTCTTTGTAAGAGTAGTTTAGTCTTTTACTTGTTGGTCTTATATTTCTTTATCTTTAGTCTTGTATCATTACATTATTGAATCAAGTTGAATCTTTTCTCTTTTCTCTTTGCACTGCCTTCCTTTTTCTCTTCTTCTTTCTTTATGTTTGCATTGTTAACATGGTATCAAAGCTTTCTTCAATTTACAAACTTTACCTGGATTATGAGAGACACCAAGAAAAGAAACCGTATACACTTCTTCTTGAAGATCACCATTCAAGAAGGCATTTTTAAGATCCATTTGTGAGATATGTCATTGACAAATAAAGGCAACAACAATGAGAGTGCAAATAGTGGTCATTTTGGAAATAAGAGCAAATGTCTCTTCATAATCCATTTCATATTGTTGGGAAAATCCTTTGACGACTAAACGAGCTTTGTATCTTTCAATAGACCTATTAGATTTAGTTATGATTTTGTAGACCTAATGAGATCTAATTGCACTTTTTCCTAAAGGAAGAGAGACAATATCTCAAGTATCTATCTTGTGTAAAGTAGAAAGTTCCTCTATCATAGCCTATTGCCAAAGGGAATTAAGAATAGATTCAAAGTAGGAAGAGGGTTCAGACAAACTGTGAATAGAGATTAACAACGCAATAGATGAAGGATCACAATCAGGATAATGTGGAAAAGGATGATCTACAAATGCAAGAGCTTCTTGAGGAGCCATAAACATAGAAGGACCATCTAGATTTGAAGAACCACCTGTGTTAGATTTGTCAAACTCAACATCAGAATTAGTTGGGTTATAATTCACTTAAAGAGGTTCAAAGGAAACATATGTGGCAAAGGGATCAATACAATTGAGATCATATTTTGTGAGTTTGTGAGAATTAGAAGGAATAGAATAAAAAGGTATGTGTTCAAGAAACTCTACATGACGCGAGACATAAAGCTTATTCTGGACGGGATCATAATAATGAATCCTTTCTAACCATCACCATAACCAAGAAACATACACATTGTTGAGCCAGAGGAAAAATTACTACGTTCTACAAGTGGATGAAGGACAAAGCAAGTAGAGCCAAAAATTCTAATGACAGAATAATCAAAAACACAACCATAGAGTTTTTCAAAAGAAGACAAACCTGAAGTAATAGAAGATGAAGTATTAAGGACAAATTTTCCCCAAAACTCACTTGGAACAAAAGAGGACAAAAGAAGAGAACAAGCGAATTCAACAATGTCACAATATTTTCTTTCAGCAACTCCATTTTGCTCAAAAGTATCAATACAAGATGTCTGGTGTACAGTTTCATCTAAAGCAAGTAACTCACAAAATTTATTAAAAGTGTATTCGCCACCTTGATCACATCTAAAACACTTGACGATGGAATTATGTTGAGTTTTAACAAAATCATGAAACATATTATATATTCTAAAGAACTTATAACGATGTTTCATAAGATAAATCTAACAATAGCAAGTACAATCATCGATAGAAGATACATAATATCTAGATTTACCTTTAGTAGAAATAGGTGATGATCCCCATACATCAAAATGAATCAAGTCAAAAGGTACAACAAAAGTTGGAACACTTTTACAAAAAAAAGGCAAAGTAAAAAAATTGCGAGCTTGCAACCACAACAATAAGAAATATCATTTGTTTGCAACTTTCCTAAGGCTCCTATAAAAGCCAAGTACTTTGGTTTAGAAGAAGAAACATGGCCATGACTAGAATGCCACAAATGAAAGTTAGATGAAGATGAATTCAAGCAACAAAATGATAGATCAACATTAAAGGTTGCAACTTCCAAAACACGCAATTCATTTTAAATACATAGCCCCCTATCTCTGGTTGGTCCTAATAAGCCTCTTTGATTATAGATCCTACATGTAACAAGAGGTGGAAGAAAACAAAACTAAGTACCAAAAGTCACATAATTGACTAATAAAAATAAGGCTCAAAGTGAGATTAAGAATTTAGTAAAGATCTGAAATAGAAAAATGAGGTGTAGAAACAAACCTAATGTTTGTTAATGGCATAGGAGTGCCATCAACAATCATGATTGACATGTGTTATGCAGGGTGTAAGGACACAAATGATTTAAAATTAGATGACATATGTTGTGAGGTTCTAAAGTCAAGAATCCAAATTTGAGAATATATACTTGAAGAGCTAAAAAAGGGGCAAAAAGACATTATTGTGATGCTAGAAATTTTTAATTTGTTCAGTAAGATTAGATATTTAAAGTCCATACAAGGAAGTGCTTTTAGTGGAATGTACATGTCCAACAGTAAGAGTGCCTAATGGAGGAACAACAACAACAATATTTAGTGTTGTAAGCTTGAAAGATTGGTGAAACAACTGATTTGGAGACTTCCATTAAGATGGTTGTTGTTACTAGCTCAACGATATCAGACATTGAGATTTCCATGACTCTTTTTCTTGCAAAAATGAAATTCATCTTAACAACCCTTTCATGATCTGCTTTTGACAAAAGGTACTACCAAAAATAAATTGATTAGAGGTGGACAAAATTCATTTGTCCACTTTTCCTTTTTCAGATTGAGACTTAAGACAAATTTCTTTTGCTAATAATTCGTTAACCACTTAATCAACCATATAAAGAGGATTATGATGTAATATCGTTCCACAATGTCCTTCAAAATATATTGAAAAGTCATCAAGAACTGAAACAAGCAATGTTCTTCTCTTTGATTAACATATGGTTTAAAGGATTGAAGTTCAATAGATTCAGTAAGTGCTAATTGATCCCATAGATTGCACATGGATGAATAAAATTCTTGGATGCACATACTATTTTTGTTGAAGGACATGAATGTCAATCTCTAATTGATATCATTTTGCAAAGTTGGACTATACATACAACTTGTTTAAGTGATCCCAAACTTCCTTTGTTGTTTCATATTTTGCAAGTTAAACCCTTATTAATTATGAATCAAAATTATTGATCCAAGTAATTATCTTTGAATTGTTATCTTCTCAAGAATCCAACTCTATTTCATATTTTCCATCATGTTTATCTATAGGCTTAACAAAGGTTTTAGATACATATCCCCACATCCTCTCGCCTTTCGATTTTCACCACGATCTAACGATTAATGAATCCAAAATTAAAAATTGAAAAGATACAACCTGGTGAAATGCAAAGTGTGCGAACTTCACTGCAATTTTTTTTTCTTTTCTATTAACTAATAAATAGATCTGCAAAATTTATGATTTGAATCAAACCAACTTTGTATACCATGTTCTTCACATCCTTCACTATTTTTGTGACACACAATTTTATAGCCTTCTTTTTCTCTCATTTTTCCTTGGAGTTACATGTTTATTCTAGAACAAATTGGACTCGTGATCCAACTAATTATAAGTCAACCACAAGATTTTGCATCTTTTTAGGAGATTCTCTTATTTCTTGGAGAAGTGAGAAACAAGATGTTGTTTTATATCCTTATTCTAAACTTAAGTATGGTGCCATGGCTACCACCTTTATTGGGATTGTATGGTTGAGATGGTTACTTGATTTTATGAGTGTTTCTCTTTTACACCAACACCTATGCATTATGATGACAAAAGTGTTAAGTTAGACGAAGAAATTCCCAACAAGGTTTTGAACATGACAAATATAATACATATTGTTATTTTTAACATATGTGTCAGTGTTTTAGATAAATATAAGAACAGGCAAAACTGAAAAACGAAGTACGTGTTATTACACAGACTATGGTCAAACCGAATGAAGCTGGTTAAACTGTACAAAACATCATATGATAGTTGATCAAGCATCAAGACTAAACCTGATCAAAAGCCAGACAAAAATACAACAAATACAAGACAAGGCGTAATACCAATCGAAGTCTTGAAGTATCAGACGAAAGGAAAAGTCAAATCAAACGAAAGGAAAAGTCAAAGTCTACTTCTCAGACGGAGACTCAAATTCCAGACGCAGACGAAGAATATTGAAAAGCGTTTGAA